ATTCAGGCCCACCTCATAATAGGTGACGAATATGGAAGTAAAGAAATCCCAACCGTTGACCTTGACCAAACCCAACGGTTTGGATTCAAAAGGTGCACTGGAAAGACAGATCGAACTAAGCCGTTAGATCGCGGCTGAAATCAATGTTTAAGATTCAGAGGCCAGCTGAAGAGGCTTCGGTTCATTAACCGTTGGATTAAAGGCATTAATCCAACGGTCACTTTAAATGAGGCATTAAATAGGCGTGTTGTGCGATTCGCGAGGCGGTGACGTCGGCTTGACGTTCCAGTGGGCAGGTCTGACGGATATGACACGTGACAAGTTTAAATTTCGAAATTCAAAATAAAGACCAAAAGGACAAAGTCGAAAATTCGAAAAAAGACAGACGGAGTGGTCGATAAATAAAAAGAGCAAGGCGACAACGGGAATGGAGGAGGAAAATCTACTCTTGGATCGAGTTATCTAAACTCGACCAAAGTGGGGGGACCAGATGATATGGGATACTATACCTAAGAGAATAAACTGGTCGAGCAGGCCGAACGAACCGTTTGGTCGAGCAGAATCAGAGGAAAGTGGTCGTGGTCGAGCATCACAAGATTAGGAGCCTTTGACAGGGGAAGACAACATAAGGGGTTCAAGATGATAACAACAGGTCGAGTGGAGTCCTCGGTTGGCCTGGTGGAAACTCGACCTGTAGACACAGCTGATTGTAGGATTGACCATGGGGAGCTACAGAGTCCAAAGTAGCCAGAACTCTATTTTGGCAAATATCAACCTAGTCGCGTTACAAGGTGGTCTAATCACGAGGGGTCAAAGGAATCTTATGGTAATTGATACTGCATATGGGCGTGCACACGTGGTCAAAGGAATCCATGCTCTATAACCGCTTTGACGCATTCTGATATCGGGCAGCTCAGGCAGCTAGCTCATTATATCCGGGCAACTTTTTAGAAGCAGGTACCTCACCCCGCTTTGACGCATTCTGATATCGGGCAGCTCAGGCAGCTAGCTCATTATATCCGGGCAACTTTTTAGAAGCAGGTACCTCACCCTATATATAGGGGTGAGAGGTGTGATTTTAACACATTACATTCATATTATTACTTTATATTCCCTAGAGATCATCTTCTATATATACTCATTTAAGCCTCGGATGCTCTTCACCGAAAAATTTCTCCGGTCCTCCAGTGTGAGAGTTTTTGCAGGTCGAAGGCGTTCAACCGTCGAGGGAGCACGTGATTAAGTTAATTCCAGCCGGCCGGAGGCCTTTATGTGCCAAATATAAATAGTAATATAGTTATTCAAAAAAGTACTTAAAAATTAAAACAAATTTATTATTGTTATTTTTAATTTTAAATATAAAATTCCTAACAAAAAACACGGGTAATACACGAGAGTATTGTACTAGTAAATCATTTTATATATTAATATAAATAGCAGCTTTATTCACAGCAACGACTGGATAGAATCAAAATGAGAAATCTGAAATGAAAGCCTAAATAAAGTTACTCCATAAATGCTATAAGTACATAATAATACTGTACATAAAGGTGTACATAACACTTATATTAAGTGTGTCCTACAAAAAAAATAAGTGGACTCTACTCTATGTGAGAGTTATCTACACCTATGTGTATTATGTACTTCTAGCATTTTTCAAAAGTTACTCACAGTCGTAATCGTGCGGCAGCGTTGGCCGACTGTGGCAGGCAGGGGCGTAGCTACTTGAGGCCCACACTAAAAAATATAAAGCGAACATAACATCTCAAGGGCCCTAGTAAATTAAGTAAAATAAGCTTATATGAAAATATGGTAAGAAAAGTGGATTTAGCAAGAAGAGAGGGGAAAAGAAAAACATAATAAAAATAAGTTGAAAATATATTTTATTTTTCAATAATTCTTGAAAATTCATGGAATATAACTCTTATTTTATACTTCACTTCATATATTGGTTGGTAATTTTCACAACACACAACACACACAACAACATACCCAGTATATTCCCAACAGGTTGGGGTCTGGGGGTCAGTTGTACGCAGACCTTACCCTTGTAATTATACAAGGAGGCTGTTTCCATAGCGACCCAAGGTGCATTGCGCCGTTTGATATATTGGTTGGTAATTTTAACGTTCTAATTTTAATTTCCCTGATATTATATACTGTAAAATTAATTGTTTGTGATTGATTTCTGATAATTGGTCCCTTTGATTGTTTTCTTTCTATCAGGTCAACCATTAAATTAAATATAATTTGAATATTTTATTTAATGTTGTTTTTAAATCTAAGCAAAACTCGAAATAGATATATGTTATTATCTAATTCTCTTAATAATTGATTAATGTATAGGTGCTAAAATAATAAGAGATGTTTGATTTGAATGTATAATAATATTTTTTTTTTAAATTCATAGAGCAGATGAATGAAATCTTTAAAACGGCCATATCAATAAAAATGTGAAATTATTATTGTCTCCAAAATTTTGTTTTTGTTTTTTTATTTTATACTTAAAATATTATGTGTTTTTTTCTTTTTGTATTGATTTTTTACTTATAAAAGATGATGTTATGCTACTTAAAATTTTAGGCCCCTCCTCACATAGATTGCTAGATTCGCCCCTGGGTCACTGGCAGGGGAGAGCAACCAACTATGGTTACCACCAAAGGAACTCCGATCGGCGCAGCTGTTAGTGTCTCTGGTAATGTCAGCTCAGAAGAACACGAAGCAACCACTGTATTTCTCGACAAAGTGGGAGTCAATTTCGAAATCAAACCAGAACACGACGCGAAGGATTCATTCTCCAGCCTCGTCGGTGGAGTTCTTCAGGTGATCTCCGTCGGGACCGGCAAAATCTCTTGCTCTCTAGTCGTCAAACCCCCCATTAAGGTGTTTATTACTTGTCCAGCTATTTATTCATTTATTTTTCGATTATGTGCTTATGAGTGTGTGTCAGTGTGCGTTTGTGTGGTGTTGGATCCGAGTATTTGGAATAATTTGTGATGATTTTGTTGGAAAAGGATTGATTAATCGTTGTCGATGTTTTTGAATTTTGAATCTTCGTGGTGAGAGGTTTCTAGGGTTATGAAGCAAATTAAGAGAGTGAATTGGGAATTTGGGGAAAAACGTTCAAGCACATTTTGCTGACTTTACATGTTTGGGCTTCTTGTACTCGTCTCTGAAGCCTCCATTATCAGTAAAGTTTAAAATATGTAAAGATTTAAAACCAAATAGATGTATTTCTATCTTCTATGTTTGGGCAAATGTCAAGGTTTGAAGACAACAACCAAAGATCTCATATACATAGGCTACATCATTTAGTAGAGATCAAACTTCTTTTGATTCTGATAATCTGATCATAATAACCGTTTTTGTTTTCAAGTAGCGATCGAACTTCTTTTGGTTCTGATCATAATAACCATTC